TTAATATACTACAAACGAAAAACAGTATTATGATTATGATGAAAGGATCGAGAACGGATGCCTGGACAAGGCTAATGTCTCATGCTATAACCAGTTAATCAAGGTTACATACTAATGGTCATTTTATATATTACTAATCTGCTAATTTAAATAAAGTAACAATATCAAATCATCTTTTTTTATAATCCAGGTTCGAAAATATTCTCCGGAAAAGAATAAAAGAGTGACTCTTCCGTATTGGGATTCCAGAGAATTCTATCTTATGTACGGAAATATGTGTGGGGAACCAAAAAGGTTTTGTATTTTCAGGACCATTTGCTTTTCGGTTAACTCCTTCAAAACCGCAATAAACATTTTACGACGAGGCATTCCAGGACGAGATAGCTCTTTAATTGACCCGAAAAAGTTAACGAAGTGTTCAAGAACAGATATCTAAGAGAAATTCTGTCTGCAACAGTAACACCAGAAAATGCCAATCTTGAGGCACACCATGATAGTGTCCCCCATGTCGGTTGGTAGACAAAACGGCCATATGACAGACGTAGATTTAAGTCCAATGGACCCATTTTTTTTTGGCGTCACCATTGCTTTATAGATTACCTTTTGGAATCATTTAAAAAATGTCAACACAGCTTAGGAATAAATTCAAAAAACTTATTATCCGGAAACTTCTAACAATTTGCATTCGCCGAATAGACTTATGGATAATTTAACTCTGAAAAAAAGAAAAATATTCAGGGGAGAAGAAGTTTCACCTTTCGAATTAAAATAAAACACAAAATTTTTTTCAAGAAAACACGGCTCCGACAATTACAAACAGCTTTAGGACGAGCATCGTAGATACAAGAACAAGAGGTCGTCGACGCAGGTCAGTTAATGTTGGCTTAACAGGCAATGGTAAAAGATAAAGGGTTGATATCAATCTTCGCCGGTAACAGGAGACGAGAAACGACAGTTCATTTGATTGTTTTTTTTGCAATATTTTAGACAATTGTGCTGTGTCTCCAATAGCAATAAAAAAATAAACACGCGAGAAACCGTACCCAAGGACATGGTCAACTTAAAAAGCAGAGAACATTCAACTTTACATTTCAAACTGATGTCTGCATCTGTCGGTCTTATTGCCTTTCGGAAGGCAGTATCTGGAGAGACAAATGCAAGGGGGTACGACTCCAACGGGAAATTGTGTCAACCCATTTGTCTGGTATCAAAATCAACGTATAAATAATGTTCTGCGATGATAAAGGTCAAATCCGATTTTCCTTGTATGTACGTTGGTTCATATAACGATACTTCTCATACAGACATGACACCATTTTTGAGGTTAGTGTTAATTAAGTAAATGTCAAATTTCAAAAAGATTTCTTCTTAGATATATCTAACAAAATTGTAAAGTAGTGAAATTAATTTTATAATGTTAACGTGTTAATGTATTAGCGTAAATTAAAACCTTTATCCGACGATATGTATTTTTTCAATAAATTTCCGGTTACTTTCCAGTTGCCTTTTTAACGAGTTAATTGTCTTAAAAATGAAACATGTTGTAGATATTATTGCGTCCCACATTAAACAAATACAGAATTTTCCTTGATGTATCGCATCTCAGTAGAATATTAGTCACCGTACGACCCTCAACAAAGATCAAAACCCATACCCATAGCATGCTATAAAGGACCCCGTTATGACAAATGTAAAACTTTTCAAACGAGAAAACTAACAGTTGATTTATGCACACAATAATTGTTTTACAACTATATTGGCTTGCATTTCCGATGTTGCCTACATATAATTACATGTTGTGGCACTGCAACCTTCGGATGTTGCATTTTATATTCATTTAAATTTATTTCATTTCTTAGAACATTACCTGAGATCAACTTTGACCTCTAATTGTATATTTTATCCAGTAGAACTAATCAATAATTGATTGGCAACCTCGAGTCCTTCGATAGTAAAACTTTTTTAAAAAATCAAGTAAAAAATGTGGAACAAAATGTTTTGTTTTCAATTCAATGACATATTCACTGAAATTAGCGTAGTAGTAGGTCGATATTAGCTGGTTGCCACTAAAGAAGAACAAAATATGCTATTCAATAAATGACGATACATGTATATAATAAAGTCTATATGATGTGGCTTTTCAATATCACACACCGTATCAACCCGCAACCAATATAATCCCTCGAACATAGCTTTTGGGTTGAAACAGGTGTTAGATTAAAAAAGCCAGATGATATTTTCTATTTACACCATGTGAAAACAGAAAAAAATACGCAGTCCACAAAACACTAAATAGAAAACCAATTTTAGTATGTGCATCAGAAACTCCACCAAAAACCGGTAATCTGGACAGATGTACCATGAAAATCAGAATTTGATTTCCAAGCTGTAACCGAGGAATGAACTTGATTTTGTCATGAGAACCAATAGCATATGATTTGAAAGGAGTTTTATATTGTTGTATTATTTGGCTAAACCACATCAGATAAGAAACGTTTATGTGTATCTTTTGAGTTCAATGCCACATCTAGATAATACTGCAAGAAAATCAGTAGACGAGTGCGAGTATCTGTCTGCAGTGTCAGTAATAAGCATATGGAGTGGTTGGACGCATACACTGTTGTGAGTATGAAATATAGAACTTAAAATAAATACCCTTTGTAAAAGTCTTGACCTGAAAAAAATGTTATCTTCTGGAAGTGGTATGAAATGCATATTCATTTAATTTAGCAAATCAGGAGGCAAGTCTTTTTACTCTGCTGTTGTAGCTGTAGGAAAATATACAAAATTCCACAAAACAGGGTCATTTTGTTTTTAATTTCTGTAAAAAAGTCAAACTTTGTTATATCTTTTTGAGGATTTTGTTTAGAAGATGTGTAATCAGAAACACGGTGTTTTAGGCCTGACGATAAGTTTTCTATATGTATTATATACCTATATGGAGTTATTTCCTTTCAGAACGAAAGTTCATTCTTTTGAAGAAACAACATGGACGATACCAAGTTTCAATGAGATGTGATTCAAGGCATAAAATAATAATCAGGTCATTATTTACCACGATTAAAACGCAAACTACAGCGTACTTAAACATATTAGAATATAGCATTGTGCTCTGGACCAATGGAATTGTAGGTTTTGATGTCTCTTAACTGTTTAGAACATACTCACCCCTTCTCGTCCAATGAAAAGTCAGTTTTTTCCCTTCTAATTTTCATAGTACATGGCTTTCCATGCACTATAAAATGCTATACATGAATAACTTTTCATTGTAGATTAATTATGAAAGTGAACTCTTAATACCTTCTCTAACGGAGTGTACAATCCCCTGAGGCATTTTCCTTGGGAAAATAGCCTACTGATTAAAGATGAAAGAGAAAAGAATTATAATAAAAACATTTAGAACATTGCAAATCTTTATATTAATGGTACATATATATAACAAACAAAAAATAAAATAAAATAGGGGCAATGGTGTAGGTAAAATCATCTTTTATACAATTTTTATACCAGACATTCGAGTCGATTATTTTTTTCTCAAGAAAACAATGTCAGACTGCTGATATATAAAGCAAAGGATTTTTTTGAGAGAGAAAAACCCACAATACATGTACATTCATTAATAAAAAGTAAACATCTGATGTTGAATGGTCGTAATTTAAATATTTATGGAGTAAGTGTTATAATTATCAAAAAGTATTCAAATTTCAGAAAGCGGATCGATATAACATTGTGTGCTAATTAAAATCAAGAAATTTAAGGTATACTTAAAGTATTAAATTTTTACCTGATGTTAGTTATTACTGCCCAAAATCATTTATCAACTTGAAGGGATTACATTTTATGATTGAAATTGATTAAAAATTAAATAGTTAAACAAACAAAAAACAAAATAAGTTGAAGTTTACTGGTGCAGTAAAAGTTGGTATAGTTAAAGTTATGATTTTAATAATAATAAGTTCAAAATAAAATAAAGAATAGACATAATCAATGCAATGCAAAAGGAAAGAAAGAAAAAAAAACCCTTTAAACTAAATATAACTTAAATTTTAAAGGAATACGCGTACGCTTACAAAACTTCAGATTTCTGGATCCGCGGTTGGTAAGAATAGTGTTTACATATAGGGGTGAAATCAACCTTTGAATTACATATAAAGACAATTCATTTAAAAATTTAATTTGAATTAATTACCTTACGTAATGAAAACGTTTTTCTGAGTCAAATATTCGCTGTGGAGTCAACTTTAGTTGTAAGTAAAATTCAGAACTTATTGATTTGAACTGTAAATAAACGAAAAGATACTTCCTAACTGATAGATTACATGATTTACATTCATACTAACAATTAGGAAACTTAAACAATTTCTACCATTTCATCGTATTTGTTGTGTCATCTTATGCCTAAAACACTGTTTTAATAAACTTTCCCATATCATAAGATAGTTTTTACATTACCACGACTTATCCATAAATAAAATGCCTAAAAAGGAAGTCGTGCATTAATTATAAACGTTGCACTACAAATCAAACAAAATCTTGATGAAAGCGAATCAAGAGATTATTTGGGCCTGAGCACTTTACAGTATTATAAGTTTTACGAAAATGACAATCCCTTTCTTCATGATAACTACTCGTTAACGCTCGTTCTTAATCATGAAGAAAGGGATTATCATTCTTTTACATATACTTATTCATTGCTGTTGACAATTGGGGTTTTACTGTACAATTTTCTATCTTGAACAGTTTTTAAAAAGTTTATGCAGAAACAATCCTTATCTTCGTTCATTAGACTGTGTGACATAAATACTATTTATTCTATTATATGACAAAATATTCCTATTTAAGATAGGGGAACAGTCACGTTCTTTACAATAAGGGGTATAATATTTGATCCTGATTCTCATTTTTTGAAGAAAAAATTGTATTGCCAGGCATAAAAGAGAAAACAAATATTCTTAAAAATTGGTTAAAAATTGTTGAAAAAAAAATCTGCTTTTCAGTGATAAAAATGTCGTGAAACAAGAGAAAAAAATTAAATATAGCACCCCCTTTATGTGGCTTATATGATGAATTACTTACAAAGTGACTTGTATATTTTTCATCATCCTAAAATCCATTTGCTTCTTACTTCATGCAATTACTGTAACATTTATATAGTAACTGGACAGTGATTTCTAACGTTTATATCTAGATGATTCATCAGTGAGTTTTATTTCACATTAAAATGAGCCGTAGGGCGTGTTTATACCTAAACGTTTACTAAAAGAATATCCCACTTCAATGATATTGGTAAAATAGGACACAATTCCTAAAAATAACACACCTCGTGGTGTCAGGATTGCCTCTCTACGGTCGGTCTTTCATTTGATCAATCCTGACACCCTTCAGTGTGTTTTACGACAAGAAAAACCTTAAATATGCATTATCTATAACATATTTTTATTATGATTGATATTGGAATCATATACAGCGTCCTGGTATTTGTGAGTATAGCATTGTATGCATATCTTGTCATATTTATATCTATTTTGCAGTCGGAAAGCTGACCCCGGTTTGATCCTATTTCTGAAGACAACAATGGAAGTCATATTTGGACACTTTTTTGGACATTTTTGTTGAAACCAGATGGTTTCCTTCAATTCGTCCTAAAAAGTGAAATCAAAGTATTCTGTACGTTATAAATGACAATTGTGTATACTTTTTAGAAGTTCTAACATAAAACATATTTTGATTAAATGTACTGAATTGGAATACTAAGCTTTCAAATACGAGCTTGTTATTCGTCGCGTCATTTTTTTTCTACAAAGCAGTTGAAATTTCTTCCTTAACTTCTAGAAAACATATGCTGATTTTAAATTATGTAATGAGGCTTTCTATGAACTGTCCTGTGTCAAATTTGTGACGCTTAATATGCTGTAATCATGGTAATAAGCAAATGTGTGGCTTGCTTTCCAACTGTTGTACAACATTCTTCTAGCTTTTCTGGTTTTGTCTGGGGTATATTCTGGCATTGTTTTGCCGAAACTAAGTTCTAACACATTAAATAACCAGCTAGTGTCGCGAACAAAGATTGTTTTGTTTGTAATCCCTATTTGGTCTAAATGTGACAAATATTTTGAATATAAAGTAGATAGCATTACAGGTTTGTCTTCTAGAAAATCATTGTGCACCTAAAACATTTCTTTTTGTAACACACCATATCTACATAACTATTACCTTGTTCAAACTGGCTACGTTTTTTTTTTCTAATACCGTATTAATTGAATTTGTCATGTAGCATCTTCCTTTTAATATTTCATTAAATGTTTTGTAACAATGCATACAGATGACTGTTTTGTGGATTGTATAGCAGTTTCTTTAAAATCAGCATGAGAACTGAGGGTATTAAAGTGTATTTCTGAAATAGAAGCATATCTGCCTTTAATTGTTTTATCACATGCAATGCATATATTCTGAAATCGACAGTCGTTTTTATCCATTTACAGTAATGTTGATGATAATGAAATATGTAAATGATTACCTAAAGGTTTGAATATTTGATTTAATCAAAAAAAAATCAAAATTCGAACTATTGTGTTGTGAATACTGTTATTGCTATTCATGTAATGACAAAATTGTAAAACGCATGGTAAATCATCTGAAACTGGAGACAATGAATAGTTTTTGTTTTATTGCTGCGTTTGATTTTGGCAGGTGGACTGTCATTAGTACTTGTCTTCTGCTTTTGAAATGTCATTTTCATTTTAAGTTCACATTTTTTGCAAATACAGAAAAATGCACAAAACTCTGGCAGGGTTCTCTTTTTTATTGGAGGTGAATGTATGTGGACAAAGGTAATTTGCAAGGGTCGGATGCTTTCTCAGGGTGGACAGACGGACAGTTCGATGGTAATCCTGGCATATTTACGGCTTTTACTTAAAAATTAAGCCAAAAATGAAAATACTCAACGTTTTATATTGAGACTGAAGCTAATCATGTGTATTGTTGAATAATAAATCATAACGGTAAAATGATGGCTTGAATTTCGGAAATCTGAAAGATAAGATTTGCAACTTTAATATAGGATTGAAATTATTACTAACAAAGTTTGGATACGCAAACGTCAAGTTGTCAGAAAATTGCTCCAAACCGGAAGTGGGAACATTTCTATTCTTTTTTTTTTTTTTTTTTACATTCGTCCTATAGTTGAAAAGAAATACACAAATGTTTAAGTTTCAAGAGAAAACTCGAATTTGGTTAATAATCATAATTTTTGTGGAATTTTTTTCGGGAAAGGAACTGCAGCGCCCTCAAATTAAGTCTGTATACTATTGTTGCTGATAAAGTATGACGACAACGGACGTTACAAATGACTTCCTTCCAACTGTGAACAGTACTGTATATCAATGTTTATGTGTCACGGTCATGTGTGTGACTTCCGTCCAACAGTGAACAGTACTGTATATCAATGTTTATGTGTCATGGTCGTGTTTGTGACTTCCTTCCAACTGTGAACAGTACTGTATATCAATGTGTATGTGTCACGGTCGTGTTTTTGACTTCCTTCAAACTGTGAATAGTACTGTATATCAATGTGTATGTGTCACGGTCGTGTTTGTGACTTCCTTCTAACTGTGAACAGTACTGTATATCAATGTTTATGTGTCACGGTCGTGTTTGTGACTTCCTTCCAACTGTAAACAGTACTGTGTATCAATGTGTATGTGTCACGGTCGTGTTTGTGCATACAAATAAGCGGATAAGAAAACAAATTATGTATATTAATATTTGATGTCAAGGTAATAAACAAATAAAAGGCAGTGGAAGAAAACATTCATTTCCCTTGGCTAAGGGAGACATGCAGATCTGTTCACCCTTGAGAAATATGAAGTTTCTTTGGTGAACAAATCTTCATATCTCCTTCAGGCGCGGGCAATAAATGAATAATGTTCTACTATATATCAGACATGGGGTAATTGCAATATGTAGTTGTAATTGACCATAATTAATTACAATTTCTCAATTAATTGAATGTAATGTGTAATTGAGCATTTATTTCAATTACAATTACAAGTAAGATATTTTTGTTTGTAATCCCTATTTGGTCTAAATGTGACAAATATTTTGAATATAAAGTAGATAGCATTACAGGTTTGTCTTCAAGAAAATCATTGTGAACCTAAAACATTTCTTTTTGTAACACACCGTATCTACATAACTATTACCTTGTTCAAACTGGCTACGTTTTTTTTCTAATACCGTATTAATTGAATTTGTCATGTAGCATCTTGCTTTTAATACTTCATTAAATGTTTTGTAACAATGCATACAGATGACTGTTTTTGTGGATTGTGTAGCAGTTTCTTTAAAATCAGCATGAGAACTGAGGGTATTAAAGTGTATTTCTGAAATAGAAACATATCTGCCTTTAATTGTTTTATCACATGCAATGCATATATTCTGAAATCGACAGTCGTTTTTATCCATTTACAGTAATGTTGATGATAATGAAATATGTAATTGATTACCTAAAGATTTGAATATTTGATTTAATCAAAAAAAAAACATCAAAAGTTCGAACTATTGTGTTGTGGATACTGTTATTGCTATTCATGTAATGACAAAATTGTAAAACGCATGGTAAATCATCTGAAACTGGAGACAATTAATAGTTTTTGTTTTATTGCTGCGTTTGATTTTGGCAGGTGGACTGTCATTAGTACTTGTCTTCTGCTTTTGAAATGTCATTTTCATTTTAAGTTCACATCTTTTGCAAATACAGAAAAATGCACAGAACTCTGGCAGGGTTCTCTTTTTTATCGGAGGTGAATGTATGTGGACAAAGGTACTTTGCAAGGATTTGATGCTTTCTCAGTGGACAGACGGACAGTTCGATTGTAATCCTGGTGCCGGTTTCACGAAGCTATCCTAAGACCTGTCATAAGATATATCTTAGGACATGTCTTATGATCCTCTTATGACTATCCTAGGACATATCTCAGACCTCGCCTCGAAGCTGTCTTAGGATGATCTTAGCAAAGATATCATAAACCTGTCGCAAGTTCTTTAAATTTTTAAATATTAACATTGATTTATGGAAAAATTCATGTAAATGTAGTATGTATTTCCCATAAATTACTAAGTGTATTGATAATTAGATAGTTTGCAAAATCAATATAAAAAATAAGTGTAATTTATATAAATAATCTATTGATAATATACTAATATACATATGAACTTTAAATACAAAATCGAGAAAAAGGAATAAAATTATAATTTTTTTTTTGTATAAGTGAGTTGAATTCAATTTGTCACTGTATCGGTTATAATAGGGTTAAAGGATAAAATCGTGCATTCTTGATACCAATACATCGAATGTTTATTGTTGACAAATCATGACAATCCGTCAACCAAAAAAGATTTAGTTGTGAGCCGGAAAAGGAGAATGGATAATTAGATAATAATAAGATAATTTACAAAATTAATATAAAAAATTAGTGTAATTTGTATAAATAAACTTATGACTATCCTAAGACCATCATAAGACACCTCTCGTGTAGTCCTAACTTTATGACCAACTTTAAGAGGTGTCCTAATTTAGGACCACTTTGTGAAACCCATTTAGGACTAAGATATGTCGTAAGACCATCCTAAGACATGTCTTAGTCCTAAGACAGCTTCGTGAAACTGGCCCCTGGCATATTTACGGCTTTTACTTAAAAATTAAGCCAAAAATGGAAATACTCAATGTTTTATATTGAGACTGAAGCTAATCATGTGTATTGTTGAATAATAAATCATAACGGTAAAATGATGGCTTGAATTTCGGAAATCTGAAAGATAGGATTTGCAACTTTAATATAGGATTGAAATTATTACTAACAAAGTTTGGATACGCAAACGTCAAGTTGTCAGAAAATTGCTCCATACCGGAAGTGGGAACATTTCTATTCTTTTTTTTTTTTTTTTACATTCGTCCTATAGTTGAAAAGAAATACACAAATGTTTAAGTTTCAAGAGAAAACTCGAATTTGGTTAATAATCATAATTTTTGTGGAATTTTTTTCGGGAAAGGAACTGCAGCGCCCTCAAATAAGTTCGGCTACTGATGATGCTGATAAAGCTTGACGACAACGGACGTTACAAATGACTTCCTTCCAACTGTGAACAGTACTGTATATCAATGTTTATGTGTAACGGTCGTGTTTGTGACTTCCTTCCAACTGTGAACAGTACTGTATATCAATGTTTATGTGTCATGGTCGTGTTTGTGACTTCCTTCCAACTGTGAACAGTACTTTATATCAATGTTTATGTGTCAAGGTCGTGTTTGTGACTTCCTTCCATCTGTGAACAGTACTGTATATCAATGTTTATTTGTCACGGTCGTGTTTGTGCATACAAATAAGCGGATAAGAAAAAAATGTATGTATATTAATATTTGATGTCAAGGTTATAAACAAATTAAAGGCAGTAGAAGAAAACATTCATTTCCCTTTGCTAAGGGAGACATGAAGATTTGTTCACCCTTGAGAAATATGAAGTTTCTTTGGTGAACAAATCTTCATATCTCCTTCAGGCGCGGGCAATAAATGAATAATGTTCTACTATAAACCAGACATGGTGTAATTGAAATATGTAATTGTAATTGACCATAATTAATTACAATTTCTCAATTAATTGAATGTAATGTGTAATTGAGCATTTTTTTCAATTACAAGTAATTGAAAGTAATGAATTACATAGCCAAAATTGTCATTTGAAATTTTGGATTAGAGAGATCGAATCTTGTGTTTTCTCAAAAAATGATGAAACGCCATGACCTTAGTAAATGTAGTTAGCTGACAAAGCAAACCCTACACAGTATACTTTGTGTAATTACACAACCATCGGAGATTCTTTGTTTTGTATTGAATGAACAAAACATAAAAAGGAAGAAAAAAAATATTGTAGAAACATGCCATAATTTGTGTTTAAAAGAAACCATTAGTAAGCCACTGTCTTATATCTTTAATTAGCTTGCTACCTACATGTATAGTCAGATAGATATTGTTAGACATCAACTTTAAACGACAAGGTCAATCAATAAATATAACCTATGGCTATTTGTTTTATTATAAACTATATTATGACTGTTTTACAACAGTTATGTTTGTGCACGTTACACAGGTGTTAAGCCAATTAGAGAGAGATAAATAAACCCCTAGGTACATGATTTTTTTCAATATCAAGTAATTGTGATTAAAACTAAAGTATATTTTTTTAATCAGGCTTTCTAAATCATTTCTTTAGGAAAAATAATGTTATTAGGTTGTGATCAAAATAAAAATTAATTTCAAAATATTAAAATTAAGGCTCTCTTTTTGTTTAAAATATAAAATTTCAATAGGTAATTAAAATAAAATTAATATTTTAAAAATAATAAATAATCCTTTTTATCATTTTGAGCATTAAATTTAACCAGACCACTAGTCCAAATGATTCCTGATAGATAAAGTATTACGTGCATTTCAGATTAATGTATGTTTTTTTCTTTATTCTCGTAACACACCAGATATCTTAATTCTTCTTTGATACTGACTGAATTTGAAAATAGTTGCTGTAGATCTCATTTGTTATTACTATCAAGCAATTTATAATACTTATTATGTACATATCATAGAATAAATGCATGTTTTCAATATTTTATCTAAATTTTACTTTCAAAATTAATTGAAAAGTAATTAATTACATTGGTAAAAAAGTCAACTGTAATGTGTAATCTAATTTAAATTATTAAATGAAGTTATCGAGAGTGGATAAATATTAATATCCAACAAGATAAAGCGGTAGAATTCTGTTTCTCTAAATGATCTCTGGAAAATGACCAGTTCGGAATAAAACTGACGGGGAAGTTAACCTGAATCAAGCTGACAGTCACTTTTAGCAGCCAGTCAAGCTAGCAACCACTTTTTTTCTGGCAGCCAAATATTATGATATGTCTAAAACCAAAACACTGTATAAACCTCAAACGTTCCAGAAATTGCAAAATCTTAGCTATACATAATAGCACATCGTATGACAGCGGAATTTGACGTCTTGTTGTGATTCTCTTTGGATGGCAATTCATTTTTTATACCAGTGATGCAGGCAGCCAATTTTTCGGAGGCCGCTGTTTGTTTAATACAAAAAACAAGAATGTACAATTTAATATCGTCGTTTTTTTTTTCTTTCTTTTTCTCGATTGTTTATTCCTTAAGATTAGGAGGTATAGAAACAATCTAAGAATAGAAAATAAATAATCTAAGTACAACTACCACTGTTAATATTTGATTTAAGTAAATTGTGATAAACTGTGTAACTGTGTTATAAAAATACTTTCATTGAACTGAATCGTCCTGAATATGCATGAAATATTTGCCACTGGACGTTAAGCAACCAACAATCAATCAATCAATCATTGAACTGAATAAGAAAAATGCAGTAGCTGGAAAAAAATGGCTGCTAGCTTGATTGGCTGCTATAAGTGGCCGCCAGCTTCAGTCTGGTGTGAAATTACACAAAGCCGGTGGCGGGGAAACAAATTAATCAAATGTGGTAATATCAAATTATGATAAAACCGGTTATAACCGCTTTATTGCATACATATGTAGCATATAAATGATGCATTGCTATATATTTGAAAATAAGAAATGAAAAATAAAAAAAAAATAACTGCAATGGTTAATTATAGTGTCAAAGATCAAATCCTCTAGTAATTAGTAAGGAAAAAACTAGAGCATTACAGTCGCAACAAATTATTAAATACATGAACATATTTATCACCAACTATACGTGTAACAGGTAAATGGTTGATTTTAAACGATATTTACAGCCCTATAGCATATGCATTACTGTCTTCTACAGGTTTCACTGAGTTAAAACTTCCTAGACAATAGACAACCATGATAGAAGCACACAATATAATAAATATATTACTATCTTTCAAGATTAACTTCCAAAACAAGAAAATGGAAAATGGACACGACAACAAGGTAACTTTGTTTCTCAATAGCAATAATGATGTTGTATATTACACAAGAAAGATTGTTCCTCGACAAAGTAAAAGTGTCAATTCTTTCAGTTAAAAAAATAATAATGCATGTCCTCGCTTTACTAATAATAGCCTTGACAATTTAGGAGATTTCGGCCAAATTTAGTAGATGATAACGGTAGAAACCCTAAATAAAATAACGGAAGTCTACAGATTAGCAAAAATCAGTTTTACAATTGACTATTCATCGATTTTTTTCTAGAAGTAAAAGGAAAAAAGAAGGCTACCAATGACAACAATTTAAAATTCATTCACTTATAAAAAAGTTAATGTTAAACGAATTCAAAAAATTAATAATTCGAAATAACAATCATCGAGAGTACGTGTTATTCTTCCAATGAATTTGTTGTTCATAGACATTTGAAGGGTTTACATCAAGATGTAGTACTTGACCTGATTTCATCTTTGATGGGATCAATTATGAACTGAAAATTTGAATCTACAACTCTATCGCAGAATATGTCTGAATGTATATATAAGAATGCAATAAACATACAAATATACATTAACTTGATTTTGATGAATTACGGATCATTTTGTCTTTGTGCAGTGATAAATATTACTAATCGAAATCACTAATGAAACAAATTATCCTATGCACCTATGAGGTTCGTTTTAAATCTTTCTTCAGAAGTATTGTACAAGACAAATATTGAATCAATGTATATCTGCATATCTAATGGTTTTTTTTAATTGAATAAGTAGCAACAAGGTTATTTTTTATAACGAAGCGATGCTACAAAAGATACAACAACTTTAAATTAAATAAAAAATCTCGTATGAATGACTGATTAATGTTTGCTTTTATTAAAACATCTAGGTGCAATTTAGCCATGTATATTAAGAATAAATGGAACAGTAAATAATTAAAAACGGGAGTTTGTAAATAAACATGGTACATATAGAGTATTACGGATTTATAGGGAAATGAACATGTGTTAGTTTATGATAGTGCAATCGTAATATATCATAAAGATGCAGAGGAACATGTTCTTTTAACGGAATAACGTTTAACTTTGCATCTTTGACAAGGAAACTACAGCACAATATTTACAACCGGATTTTATATAAATGCACATTCTTGACCTTTTCCTGAGCTATAAAGGATATCGCGGTCTTAAATTACATGTTACCTGGTGCAAATTGTCTCTAAGGATATATATGTGACATAACACATTTATTTATCATTTACTGGAAGTATCATGTGGTGTAATTAAATGATTCTTATAATATAGTCTCAACATCCTGCAGCCATCAGTAATATAAACAACGCAATTGTTATTCTTACGAGATAAAAAAGAAACATTCCACGAAAAAGGTAATATTTTTTTCCTTCTGCAAGTTGTATAATTGAAATATTTTTTTTATTTTTTTATTTTCACTATTTAAGTTATGTGACTTTAATATCTTCCTTCTATTTTATGTTTACTACACATCTCGGTTTAGTTAGTTTTTATTTGATTAGTATATTATATGAATCATTTAGACATGGCTGTTCATCTTAAAACATTTTAGCAATATCTAACTGTACAAGACTAACAATTTAATAGCCATAATTTTGTTTTCAAATAATAAATGTTAAATATCTTGCTCAAATTACATAAGCTCTTAAAAGTTAGCATTTCATTGTTGGAAAAATACTGTTATACTTAACTTATATCTGTACATAATCCTATTCCTTTTACATATGTATATTTTGCTTTTTTCTAGATGCTGTTGGTTAATTTCTGTATGTTTACCTTTTTGCCATGGTTAATGGCTGTACACATTCATGATGATTTTGTTACTGTTGTTTTAAAAGATTGTTATTCGTACGAAAATATGGACAATGCCTTAACCATGGGGACTGTGGAACAAATGAAGTGTTTGCAGCATCATATTTTAAATTTATATGACGGTAATATCAGACTCAACCCAATCGATTTGCTTCTTATCCATGTCAGCATGACGCATTTAAAGAATGGTGAGCCACTAACGCTGGATATATCATCGATAATCAAGACGAAAACATTTGATCCTCTTCCAAACACATCTGTTCACCTATCGGTAAGACGAATACAATATAATGACTTTACTGTATTAGGTAATCGTTTACAAATAAAATGTCTTCCTAACATTACTTTGTAATGGTTTAGTTGCTAAATTTTAATCTTTGACCTATTTATAAACCATAATTTAAACAAATGTTTTTGAGACGGTTAATAGTTACTTATTCGTAATTAGAAGTGCTTTGTTAACACAGTTTATTTGTTGAAAGCAACACAATGAATTTGAAACAAGAAAACCGTACCTCTGATTATATACTTGAAGAAACGTTTCATATCATGGCTATATCGAACTATAAAATTTCCATAAATGTATGTGGAGAGAGAAAGAGAAAAGGAAAAGAGAGATAGAAGACAACATGGAATGGAATGCGTGTATCCTTGTGTTTTGTTACTGTTTTTGACATTTTAAGGAATCTGGGTTTTTTTTTATATAATCAACCTTTTTTTTTATAAAAAAAGTTAAATAAAACTATTCTGTTTGTATATTAGTCTAGATGAGCCCCTTCTACAATTATCTATATCTATTATATACCTGTATACCATTGAGCGTGTACCATTGACGTCTTTTAAGCCATTTTCTGCGTAGAGAACAGCCTAAGTCAAATGATATACAAGAGTTCTAACCTGCCTAATCACTCATTCCACATACACTTAATTTAAAACTTATGTAAATCGTTTCACCCTCTCCCTCTGTCATTTTCAAACCAAGAATAATCTCAGTGTGACAATTTGAAAACATTTAAACATGTTTACATCCTTACTTTATAAGCTGGCAATGGTCCAAGGATGGAAGTAGCTATAACAGAAAAATGGGAGTCTTCTGAAGAATAGTCTTCAGCTGTCAAAGAACTCTTGTAACTGATAAATATGAAGGTGTTCAAACCATTTTTTCTGTATTGATATTTTCAAAATCCTCGTTTCTAAGTTCTGCTTCGTACACAAATGTCTCTATCATAAATCGATTTTGTCTTCGAATCCGCATTTATACTTGCAATATTGACTCTGCCTTTTGGAATTCTTACTGTCTGCACCAAGCTTCTCCCCACAGAGTCATGGAACTCTAAGTTGACATTTGCAACAAAGCAAAGTTAGTTTTTTTAAATATCAGAACAAATGGCAATAATTAGAATTCAGTTGCGATATTCGTAACTTGTCGTATTGAGGAATCACTTTTTCATTATAACAATGAAACTGTTTTTCGTTTTGTGCCTAGTTATATTGTCTTCTTACGACAACACCACTGTAACCAAGGAGGATAACAATGTCGCGAATGATTCAATAGATATACAAGTTTAAGATGGCATTTTAAAGAATATGTTTTCATCCATGGAAACATGCTTAGATTGTAATATATATGAACAGATAAAATGCTGTAAATAGCTTTTGATAATTCTAAATGTAGGAAAGATTTCTTGATATATTTTAAGAAAAGGAGTAGCCTAAGGGCCAATTTCCCCTGAATTTATTTCAGACCAAAGCCATTTTCTATCTGTACTTTAATGTATAGTATCACAGCCTAACAAAAGTATGTCTTTACATTATTTCTAAACGGATCAAATAATTATAAACGCCTAAACCAAATATCGTAACATTTCGAGATTTTGACAATTTTGAGAATTTAACCCAAAAATGTACAAGAAGGACATCGTTAATAAAACCTTAATTATGTTGAAAGTAAAGCTTTGTATTGTCCTTCGATAAAATTTTAATTTCTTTTGGTTATTGGTGTCCTTCGGTGGAAAATTTGACAAAAAACATGTTATATGTTCAATTTGTATCAAAATGCCTTTTACAGCGCTGAATAACTTCTTGATTTAATGGACATAAGTTAAATTGTGAAACGAATTTTAAGCATTTGATATATTATATTTAGACTGTTGAATATTCAATTTCTGGTAGGATTTGGCAACTTTCAGATTTTGTCGAAAGAACTTATATTATGTTCATGGTTGTGTTGACCCTGTGACTGAAACGATCCAGGGGGTTGGTTATACATACTCTTTTATTGTGACAGTTAAGTTGCAGAAGAAAATTTAAGAAAATTAAGACAAAAGTCAACGAATTGCAAGTATACGACGAAAAATGCATAACTTAATTGCTTTTATTTTATTAATATTTCTAATGTCTTTCCGTCGTCGTCGTCGTTTTTTTTTTTTTTTTTTTTTTTGACTTATGGTTTGTTATTGCCTCCTTGGTATATTCTCTCCTCTTTTTTGGCAAAACACATGTTTGATTTATTTTTATAACTCACACTCATTAACATAAGTTTATCATTATAATGTACATTGGAATTTATTCCAATAAGTATATGATATATATATATGTTTTGAAAAGTAGTATAAGTAAGGGATCAAATACCATTGGTTAATTGGGAGAGAAATGTTTTTCAATGACATTGAAGTACAAAATTTTCTTATTTTTAAAAAAGTCCAACCTTTTATTTATACTAATTTTCAACCATTGTTATATATTTACTTTTTGAAACATTTTTTTAATGAAATCAAAAAATGCATATAAAAACATACCCTAAACAATATATGATTGTTCGGTGCCTTGCAAGAGAATTCATAAAAAAAACATGTACTGAATAAATTAGGAATGTTTGGTTCATTAAAAGACAATTCATATAAAACATGTCCTTAACAAATTAGATATGTTCGAGTCATTATAAAAGACAATTCATATAAAACATGCCCTTAATAAATTAGGAATGTTCGGTTCATTATAAGACAATTCATATAAAACATGCCCTTAATAAATTAGGAATGTTCGGTTCATTATAGGACAATTCATTTAAAATATGCCCTTCACAAATTATGAATGTTTTGTTCATTATAAGAAAGATCATAAAAAACATGCCCTTAGCAAATTATGAATGTTCGGTTCATTATAAGACAATTCATTTATAAATGCCCTCAACAAATTATGAATGCTCGGTTCATTATAAGAAAGTTCATATAAAACATGCCCTTAACAAATTATGATTTTGATTTTTGATTTTTGGTGTTTTAACGCCACTTTTAAGCACCGCTTTTGGGCTATTTCGTGGCGGCCAGTTTTTATTAGTGGAGGAAACCGGAGTGCCCGGAGAAAACCACCGACCTTCGATAGGAAAACTGACAATCCTAGTCAATTAAGATTGGAGTCGAGTGCACCCGCACGAGCGGGGTTCGAACTCACAACCTCAGGGTTGACTGGCTAGTGATTACAGAAGTAACTACTTAGACCACTCGGCCACCGAGACCCCTAACAACAAATTATGAATGTTCGGTTCATTATAAGACAATTCATATAATTCATGCCCTTTACAAATTATGAATGCTCGGTTCATTATGAGAAAGTTCATATAAAACATGCCTTAATAAATTATAAATGTTCGATGCCTTAAAAGACAATTCATATAAAACATGCCTTTAATATTTTATGAATGTTCAGTGCCTTATAAGATAATTCAGAATGTTCATCATTAGTGCACACCGAACAGGTATGGTAGGTCAAACGAGTGCAACAATGTACAAAGACTTGTTATTTATGCACGTCAATTGGAAATATATTAATTAGCTATAGCTTCAAATCTATGTTTCAGGATTTGATAAAGCGAAGAGTCAAAAGGTCGAGGAGATATAGATATGGACGTACACAATATACACCATCAGAATTACCAGACTCCGATCTTCAAAGGATTCTTAGAGATATCTTAGATTCACCTGCGCCTATTATTAAGAAGCCTTTTCGTATTCATCATAACTTAACAGACTCACGAACGCATAATACATCACCTAAAACTTCTAAGGAACATCCTGTCAATCTCAAAAACTTAATGTCATATGTCAAACGTCATTATCCAAACTTTCGAGAAACCGATTATCAAAGGCTTATTCAAAAGATCAAAGACTCACCTGCACCTAATATTAAGAAACGATTTGAGACCAAAGAATCCATGGTAGATCCAAGAACCTATCGTCATCATAAAAAATCTGATGACACAGGCAGGAGAAGGAAATCGTATAGATATTCAGGCTATAGAACAACTGGGTGAAATACATGTATTGATGAAGGTAGCATTAAATGATGTATGAATACTTTATAATGTTACTGACTTATGATTGTGAACTAACTAATTGCTTTTAAATTTGTTGCATTTATGTTTTATGTAATTTGTATTTTGTTTGCCACAAGCTGTACTTATGCTTTACGACAATAAAGATAAAGATAAATATATAATCCAACTGAGTTGTGTGGGAAGAAAGTCATCGTTTTACATCAAGTTGATATCATGCCCAAGTTTGACAACACGTGTAATATGTACAACCATGAAACAAATGTATAAATAAATTGTTTCGACAAATATTACATTGTGCTTTAGGCAATTACAATGTATGTGATAATTATACTGTTATGACACTTGACATAAGAGTTAACGAGAAAAAAACTCAAATTATTTTATTAATTTAATAAATAAATAAAATCAAAATCAGCTTACTTCTTATAGATGATTGAATCTACTGTTTTGTATATTTTTATACTTAAAAAGTTTATCAAAATAACAGCATAAACAATATAAGAAAAAGAAGACATTTAAAATATACCGAATGTGACTCTTTTCCTTTGGAGTACTGGTTATTCTGAGCATTGCTGTCAAGTTTTGTAATAATAAGTTCAATAGTTTAAGAGGAGACAATTAGTATTATTAGTATAGTATAATGTACTAAGACGACTTCATACAGCGATGTGAGTAAAATTTCTTCGAAAAATCAAAACCACACCATATCATGATAAAATACGGTGTGAACCAACCAATGATCACAATTAATATTCATCTCACCTGCATAAAATGATTGAAATGGATGTAAAGGAAGACTCTAAGATGATAAACATATGTAATGCACCTCGTTGTCTTTATAAGAAGGTCCATTTGGCCATTTATACTTCTTCTTCCTGAAAATTTGAGATTGTAGTCTAATAAATCAAATTTTGGGGTAACTATCACACATAGGTTTCCATATGTCCCCTAAATAGGGGTGATACCACCATTGGTTTCCACTATTAGTCGATGTTAATTGGTATTTTTTTTAAATGTGCAGAATTTATTTTTCAAGTAAATGAATACTTTGCATGAACAAAGTTTCAAACTGTCCAGTACTAGAGTAAAATTTTCACGTACCATTTCATTGCATAAGAAAATAAAACTCACAAACCAACTTTTTTCCCTGTTTACAAGCTTTAGTAACAAGGTCATCTCAAATTGCAAAATCGTTTTAGGAACACCAAATAAACACAAATGGTGCTTTGAAATACTCAATATATCTGACACCAAAAAAATGTCTGCAATGAAATGCAGGGATACTTTCCTTTAACTGTCAAATTCAAGACGATGCTTCTTACAAACAGACAGTTCAGGTCAGACTGTCGATTTTTGTGTTTTGTCATATGAAATTCATCGTTATCTCTCTCTCTCTCTCTCTCTCTCTCTCTCTCTCTCTCTCTCTCATCGTATTGTCTTTATCAATGCGCAAACCCTAAGCCGTATAGAGAGATATATGACCCAAAAAATTCAAACTTAAAATCCAACGGTAACATTTATGCATAAAAATTTTTTAAAAAAACAAACATGATAAACAGCGACAAACAACAACCACTGAATTACAGACTCATGAATTAGGACATATCGATCTAGTTAGGATATATAAAAACCGTAAGATAAGGTCAAAAGAACACCACCGTCCAAAAAAGGAAAAGGAACAATAGAGAAGGAAAAATCGGCCATTATGTCTTTTGTATAGAAATTCCCGCGTGAAATTGAAATATAAATCTAGGAAAGGACAGTTGTTGTTGTTTATATCAAATTTGATTAAAGTTAGTTCCTTTATAAATTTCAGCAGTATATTTAGAGAACTCATCTTTATATAACGCAGACATATCATAAAGGTAACGATTAACTTAGTGCTGTTGAATTTTTCAATTAAATTGAATTTAAACGGACCTCTACGGGTATAACTACAACCTGTCAAAACAATTAACTGTCGAAACGTTCATAAAAGTTGTCCAGAAAAAAAAAGATTACAGCTGTAATAATCTCGTCACACTTCTAGTAGGTATATAATCCATTTATATTACAGAAGAAGGCTTCAACTGAGTTGCAGCAAATAAATAAGCAATCAAACTTTGCGAAGGACCATTTAGTTTTATATGCAAACTTGTGTTTGCTAAGGTTGTGTAAAGGTAAAGTGTAGAGAGTAGAAAAGTTGTAATTGTCAAATTCAGGAGAATTGATTTTTTTTCTTTTTTAACATGAAACTTGATGCAACTTTCCACTAGAGAACAAATGACGTATAATTTAGCAACTATAGGTCACCGTATGGCCTTCAGCAATGACCCGTAACAAAAAGCCCCGACATGATAAATGTAAAACAATTCAAACGATAATACTAATAGCCTGATTGTTATACACATCATTACAAACAAAAAACAAATATGATATACAGCAACAAACGACAATTCCTTAATAACAAGCTCCTGACTTTGGACAGGCACATAAACAATGTGACGGGGTTGAACACGTTTGCGGAGGACCATCGCACCCCTAACTTGGAACAGTGGTGTTACAGTACACCATAAGAACAAACGATAAATGATCATGTTTAAATCATCGTTATAATTGTTATTCGTTATATCGACCCGAAGAACAACCTTACAACAATGCATATTTTACACTTGAGAAAGTGTTGTGTTGATAAAGCTAACTCTTTGTTTGGTCAGGTTGAATTTAAGAAACACCCATATGAAGGTATTATATAATATATATTAAATATATTCATCAAGCGCGCTACCCGAGAAATGAGAAATGCCGCTCTGGTTGTAGTCGGTGTTTCTTTTGAAGTAAGCCAACATATCAACAGCAGTTACGTTTTATAAGGTAGTAAATAATAATAAAGCAACAATTGAAAGGACACTATGGATAATATTAACTAACTTTACAAACACCAGATGCGCATTTCGACAATTAATGTCTCTTCGGTGATGCTCGAGGCCAAAATATTCAAAAAATAAAAAGGGCTAATAAAACCAAAATGGACAAAAAATATAACCAAAGTCGGGAAAGGAATCAGAGCTTTGCATGAGGGGGGTATATTCATTAATTTAAAACAATTCAAAAATTTTGTAACAGAAAATTTCAATAATATAATATCCGTATTTTCAAGCAAGTACCGAAGTACTGACTCTGGACTGGTAATGGGGACTAACAGTCCACCAGCAGAGGTATCGACCAAGTGGTGGTAATGAACCTAGTACAAAGTAAACGTAAAAGTTTATCTGATATTAACACTTGAAAGAGAAGACTTTCCCATCTGAAGAACACTCTGTACCAGCTTTCGGTCCTTACTTTTGTATGTAGTGTTTGTAGACTGTTATTTGTCTTTTCGTCCTTTTTTTCCTGGATTTATCAGTCTCTCGTCGACTTCTGAGTTTTGATTGGGCCTTTGTCACTGTCTGAAAGTGTCAGTCGGTCCCATAAAAAAGGAACTGTATTTTTGCAATATCTATTGTACATATTTTAGTTCGTTGTATATTTTTTAAAAGAAAATAGCACTTGATAAATTTCGTGCGTCCGAATAGTTTTTCTTGGTTTACTTTCATCAGGAAAACTTAAACCTAAACATTTGTAAGCCAGGAATGCATAAATACATTGAAACCTTGTTAGGTATATTACCAAGAAGGGACCTAAAAAGAATAGCCAAATTCATTGACGGTCAACTTTGACTGATGGAGTTGGAACCGTAATTTCTAAATATTTTATTATATTATATCATCGGGGAATTTTGTGATTAATAAGTATAGATTTTTAACTTGCCGTATTGTTAATAGAAATCGTGGATCCAATGATTACTTAAATCGAGCAGTAAAAAGGGTATTAGCTATGAATTAGACAAAAAAAATTAAATTTGATTGTTCTTGTTTCAAATGTCTTTAAAAGTGGAATAAAGAAATAATATTTCGTTATTGACAGTCAGTTTGGTTCATTTTCGTCAAAATAAGATAAAACATCGATCATGTGATATTGAAATTCAATAATTTAAAACCGTATTCATGCAAACTTTAATTTGACCTTTAGTGGAGTTGGGTTGCGCATGTGTTCAGCATGTAGTTCATTCACTAAAAAGAAAAGAATGTCAACATTGAAAAGTGAAACAAGGGAACACCAGGAATAACCATTTCATTGACTGATCCGGCCCCTCAAAAAATCATTCTGATATAAGTAAACTGATGATATATATTGCAGATTTAACATTGTTATGCTGATATTTAGAGTAATTATGAATATAATATCTAGTATTCATTAGTGATCCAATGGATGGATCTGTCCTACAGTTGTCACTTGTTTGGACGTACTTATCAAAATAATTATTTCTGTGACTACATCATACAATCCTTGAGTACAGATGACTTAGCTAATCTGCAATCAATTCCATCTTCATGCCTACTATATCATGTACTATGTTACAACTCCAGATTTTACTGACGAAGTAAAGTAACACTAGGCAACCGAATGCTGAATTTTTAGTTCAGTCTAGGTGGTCGAGTGGTCTAGAGCGCTGAACACGGTGCAGGCGGTGTTGTCTCGATATCCCAATAGCATGAGTTCGAATCCCGGCGAGGGAAGAACAAAAATTTGCCTCTGCAAATTTGCAGATTTAACATTGTTGTGTTGATATTTAGAGTAATTATATATATATATAATTATATATATAAACGCCTAAAAAGATTACAAAACAACACCAATATTAAAAAAGAAAACAATAAATGTAAGTACCTATAAATATTTCGGATAACAGATATCCTTCATCAGTATGATTATGATGTGAAATGAATCATGTTAATCTATTCTGATTTAACTATAACAATCCTGAAATTTATACAATTAAAACCGAACACAACAACGCTTGTACAATTCTAAAATTTCAAAAATGACGTAGGTTATATATGTATTTTACAACAGAGACTGCATAGATATGCTTCTAATAGAAATAGCAATGTGCGGTATGAACTGGTAAATTATAGCTTGAAATCAAACAGACCCAGAAAAACTGTCATTTAACGCCCCTTTAATGTTATAAATGCCTCACAAGTTACACATTACAAGTACTTTGATTCAAGTTTTCTCCTCCAAAGTACAACGTTTATCTACTCAAGGTATGTTACACTATAAAATGCATATTTACTGT